CGACTTCTCGCTTCTCTTGAGTGATATGTCGTTTAGATACCATTTATCTCCATTCCATTCCTCCTTACATAGTTATGCATGTTTGTATGATTGTGCATGTTTGTATCTTCTCTTGTTCTGGAAGAGGAGGATGAGAAGAGAGAGATATGTTTTTTCTTTCTTTTGTTTTTTGTTTTGTTTTTCTTGGGTTGCTCTCGCTGAAAGAGAAAATGTTTTTGTTTTTTCTTTTTTTGGAAAATAAAGCTCACAGGTCGGAGCGTACTTTTTCTTTTAACCCACACCCACACCCACACCCACACCCACTCCCACACCCACACCCACACCCACACCCACACTCACACCCACACCCCACACCCACACACCCACGCTCACACTCACATCCACATCCACACACCCACACTCATATCCTAGAAAAGATGCATTCTTTTATTTGAAGACAAAGTTTGACAATAAAATTAGAGAGGAAGAGTAACAACCATAACACTCCAGGAAGGGATTGTGATTGAAAATGCACCACCGATTGACCAAAAAGGATGTCTAAAAATTGATGCAGCATTTGGATTAAAGATAGTATTATGCACTGTTGTAGGATCAACACCTGAACCAGCAGTCAAGATTTCCATGAAACCTTCGCAACAGAGAGTTGTACCTTGAACTTTTACTCTAACATAAATATCATTCGGATCTGCATTTGCGAGCTTAAGGATTAACATGCTGTCATTGGTGCGTTTTGTTGCAACAAAGTAAAGATTTCCAAGTTTACCATCACCTTCTTGTCCTTTTTCTACGGATTGATGAGTAACGCTACTATTGGTAGCAGTGGAATTGAGAATAATATTACCAAGATTTTGACCAAACATTTTTTGAGCAAGATATGATGTTGATTTAACAACTGAACTAGCATTGAAGACAATCAAATTTGGTGTCCATTGTGTATTGAAAGTATTTTGGAGAACTGGAGCATAACAACCACCAATAATGATATCTGAATTACGTTCAAACCCGATTCGATAGATAGATTCAGCGACAGCCGATTTGATAGATGGATAATCGAGTCGACCTGCTCCAAATGGATTATTAATTTGTGAATCATCATCGTTGATGACTGAAAATTCTCCTACAAGTACTTTTGGACTTGGCCGAGGAATATTTTCATAACGACGAAAATTTTGTATAAAAAACAATGGCACTTGATAATCATGATCATCAACAGCTGGTGGAGAGTTAATAGATTTGGTTGTCGTAGCAATAAAAGTAATATTAGGATATCGTTGAGAAAGAACATTGTAAAAAGCTG